GTACCATGAAGCCTGCAGAACTCAGAAAGAGAAGCTTACAAAAAAAAATTTCTCTTCTATATTGCAGTGACTCTAAAGGAAGCATATTGATTTACACCTTTATGAAATTCTTTTACTTTTTGAGGTTTTAAAACCACTTGATTAGGAATGGATGGCAGGTTCCCTGACTGGAAAGGGTTGAGTTTGTATTAATACTGATATGAAGATTAGAGTACCAATGTCAGTAATCGATTTTTCTTGTTTAATTAGAATTCCTAGTCTACACCTTTCCCTAACTTCTCAGATTTGTAATTCCTCTTTGAGAGCTGAGCTAGTGCTTTTAGGAGAGCAGATGAATGTTGTCTCAGCCAGTCCCAAGGACTGAATCTTGTATTTGTATTGTTCTGTCCTGAGAAATGGAGCCATCTTAAAAATAAAATGAAAGAAATTGAATTGTCTAGTGTTAAGTTTGCACATTTTAACTTATAAGGGCTGAATAAGGTAGCCAATTTTATCTTTTCTCGTTGAGTCAGTATCTTAATTTTTTTTTTTTTGCGGTATGCAGGCCTCTCACCCCGTGACCTCTCCCGTCACGGAGCACAGGCTCCAGACGTGCAGGCCCAGAGGCCATGGCTCACGGGCCCAGCCGCTCCGCAGCATGTGGGATCCTCCCGGACCAGGGCACGAACCCGTGTCCCCTGCATCGGCAGGCGGACTCTCAACCACTGCACCACCAGGGAAGCCCCAGTATCTTAATTTTTATTCCAGCATAAATATTTAATGGAGGAAATGATTAAGATTCATACATGTGAAATTAAAAGGTATTTATGAAATCTTTATTAATTTCAATTTATGAAAAATTTTATTACCAAACTCAGAATTGGAAATTTTTACTTTTGAGTTTTAGATTTTCAGAAGTATGTTTTTTAAGCAATAGGCATAGAATGATTAGATATAAAAATGGAATTTGAAGAATTGACTGACGTATTCAACCCAATAGCATAAATACTCTTTTAACTAATGTGGTAACACTGTCATATTTGGAAGGTTTGACTTAAAAGAGTATAAAGCATAAGTTTTTTATCACTTGGTATTACATTTCCCTAGTTTTTTTGTATCATCTGTTTGATTAATTCTTGTGATATAGACTTTTTTTATTACTCACAGAGTTTTTTTATTTTGAAACACAGTGATGGAGAGTAAGTATAACAATTTGTCTATTCGTTTGACTTAGGGTAAGATTACAAGCACACATTTTTCCTAATTCCATACAAATCTAATATGCAGAGGATTGGATAGTATTCTTGAATTTGTCACACTCTCCCCAATCCCTGGGAAGACACTAGGGGTTTTCAACTGCACATTTTATTTCTTCCATTTTGTCACTTTACACATGCAAAGTTTTAGTAATTGTAAGTCATTATCAAATTTTTTTCAAAGAGAAGACATGAGTATTTGCTTAAGCATGTTGAATAATGTCAAATGGAAATGCAGGTTTATTAGTGTTTGGAATAATTAAGAAGAATTTTTTTACTTAGAAATTTCAGGGATTTGAAATGTTTATGAGTTAAAACTAGATTGACAGGGCTTCCCTGGTGGAGCAGTGGTTGAGAGTCCGCCTGCCGATGCAGGGGACATGGGTTTGTGCCCCGGTCCGGGAAGATCCCACATGCCGCGGAGCGGCTGGGCCCGTGAGCCATGGCCGCTGAGCCTGCGTGTCCGGAGCCTGTGCTCCGCAAAGGGAGAGGCCACAACAGTGAGAGGCCCGCGTACTGCTAAAAAATAAAAAAAAAAACAAAACTAGATTGACAAGGATGGTTGTTGAGGACTTCCCTGGTGGTCCAGTGGTTAAGACTCTGCGCTTCCACTGCAGGGGGCGCGGGTTCCGTCCCTGGTCTGGGAGGTTCCTCATGTTGTGAGGTGCAGCCAAAAAAGAAGACAACAATAACAACAAAGGATGGTCGTCGAGGACTTCCCTGGTGGTCCAGTGGTTAAGACTCTGCGCTTCCACTGCAGGGGGCGCGGGTTCCGTCCCTGGTCTGGGAGGTTCCTCATGTTGTGAGGTGCAGCCAAAAAAGAAGACAACAATAACAA